ACACTCAGCTCGCTGCGACTTTTACTTCTGCTTTTTGCGCCATGCAGGGCTGCGCCTTTACACAACCCCATCTGAGGCCTCTCCTGCCTCCATTTGCTGAATAAATTCAGCTTCATATTTACAACAGGAACAAATTAGTTCAAACATTTTCAATCTACATTTAAAAATCCGGAGCTGCGAACCAGGAAATCAAACTTTCAGCATCTAGAAAAAAAATCTCCAAATAATTTTTCTTAAATTAAAACCAAACCTTCAGTTGATCTAAAACATTTTCACGTCGTTGTGTCTGAAAAAAGCTGCACCAGAAATGGGTTTTTTTTTTTTTTTTTTTTTTTTTTTTTCGTTTTTTTTAGTAGATCTTGGTGTGAAAAGTAAAAGACTCGATGGCCTAAAACTGTGTCACAAACTGATGGATATGAATGCGGTTTTTATGCAAGAAGAAAAACTGAACCGCAAGCTGAGCTCCAGGCGGAGGAAGTCCTTCCTTCTTTACTTTAACCTCCAGAGCTGCTGCTGTTATTTCTGTGGCTTTTTACACAGAAGACGTTTCGAAACTCAGGCAATTATTTATTTACAAAAAATAAATCAGAGGTAACAGTACAAATAACACTTTCTATTATTATTATTATTATTATTATTATTATTATTATTATTATTATTATTATTATTATTATTATTATTATTATTATCTGCTGTCTTGCCATAAATATTTTAAGTTTAAAAACGTTAAATTGTTATTTTCTGTCTTTTCTGACATTTTTTAAAATACATTTTATAGTAAAATTCGTACAAAATTGTATAGATTAAATTATCCAAAACTCAATTTAAAGTGGTTTATCGTAATAAAAATGTCCAAAATAAGGAAACTATATGATTTTAAATAAACTGGAACATAAATGAAAACTAAAAGTACCCTGACTACAAAGAGAAACTTTAGAAAATGTTTTTAAAAATAAAAAAACTAAAAAATTTCCAGGAATATAATACATTTTGCGGTGGGGTTTTAAATCTCTTAGATGTGTTGTTGCTTCTTTCTGCTTCTCAATCCTAAAATGTTTCTGAGCCTGAAGATCATGAAGAAACGCTGCAGATCTGCTGATCTGCGCCGTTATTCTGGTGAAGCAGTCAGACATCTGCAGCCGCTGGTATCACGTTCAGAGCTGCTGCTGCTGCTTTGGGCGACATGCATGGTGCAACCCGCAGCGCTGCCGACAGCTCAGCCATGTTGTCTCACAGCCTTGTTGACTCGGTGTTTGTGCTGCAGCAGGTGAAAAGTGTCGATCTGCAGCGCTGCGCGTTCAGGCGCAGAACATTTTTAGGACATCAGCTTCTGCCTCAACAGGGTCATGTTGTTTTTTATAAAGTTGTTTTGTGTCACCGAGCAACAGCCTGAAACACATTGAACAGGAAGTCAGTTGTGGCATCGGCGGTCAGGCCACAGTTTGGTATATTTGTATCAGTGTGCAGAGAGACGCAGAGACGCAGATGATGGCGCAGATGAAGGCGCAGATGAAGGCGCAGGCCTGATTCCTCCTTCACTCTGCAGAGCAAAACGGCACAAATCCATAAAGTCCTGTTAAAAGAAGGAAACTCCTCAGGGTTCACTGCTCTGCTCAGTCTGGAGTCACAAGTGAGTTTTTATCCCGCCTTCAGGCCAAAGTTTCACTTCTGCACAGAGTGAAGAGGCTGCAGGCAGAGAAAGCCTGACTGATCAGCAGAAAGAGAAACAGATCCATGTTCCACAGCGGTCAGCTGGAAACTGACGCTCCGGCCTGCTTTGGTCAGTCAGTTTTAGAGGAAAAATACTTTTAAGAGTTTTTGTACTTTTACCTTTACTTGAGTTACTTTATTAAGTTTAATTAGAGTTGAGTAAAATGTCTGGCTCCTCTACAGTAACTTCACTGAAGGAAGAACAAACCTGCAGGTTTTGTTAAAGTTTTACAAACTTTATATTAAAGGAAATTTGGATTTTTTTTATTTTTTTTTTTTTTTTGGTCTTTTGCCTAATTCTGACTTTATAAATATGTCATCTCTATGAATTATTTTCATCTCCATCATCATTTAAAATCTCCATATAACTTTACATTTTGGTCCATCTGATGATGTAATTTGTAAATATTAAATAACTGATGTTTCCATCAGTTATTCAGTTACTTGTGTTGCTTTTTTACCAAATATGTTTTTAACTCTTCAGTCGTTTCTTGTTCTGTTGAAGTTTTGCTTCTCTTGAGTAAAATGTGTGTGTTCTACACACATCTTCACCTGGAGCAGCAGCTGATATTTATTCACCTGTAACAGAAACATTAATTAGTAAACCTGATCCGTGGTTAACTTGGGCAGTGAAACTTTCAAGGTTAGTTTTTTGTTTTTTTTCAAAGATGAAAGTTTAGCAGAAATTCACTGACTGATTCTCGCTCTTTGAACTTTCCCTCCGTTTGTCACGTTACAGCGAGAAATTTCTCTGTTTGCTGGAGAACCAGCAGCAGGTCAGGTAACCATGGCAACCCTGGAGGAGCTGCAGAGTTGCACCGTTATGGATATTAGGCCAGAAGTTTGGTTTGAAACCAAACCTCAACACGGCACATCCAATTAAACCGACCCTCCTCATGATGCAACATGGTGGTGGCAGCATCATGCTGTGGGACAGCTCAGTCCTGGAGGAAAACCAGAGCATTCTGCCAGAATTACAGAATGGCCTAGTCAAAGTCCAGACCTAAACACCACTGAGGATCTGAGGAGAGACGTTGAGCACTCCATCCAGTCTGCCTGAGGTTCTGAAACAAAGATCGGACCAGGCGGTTCTGTAAACTGTCCACTCAGGGGAGCACGCCACACTTTTCAGATTCTTTTCTTGAACTGTGAAGCCCAGGAATCATTTTCCTTCTACTCCACTTTGTGCTCGTCTGATAAACTCACTGAAGAAATTAGGAAAAAGTTCATGCGGTTTGAAAACTTTAAAAACTTTGAGATGTTTTTATTTTAATCAAAACATCAGAAAAAGTTTGATCAACCTGAAACATCCGGACATGGAAAAACTTTAAAAGTAAAAGTTTAGATGGTTTGGAGATTAAATTGTTTACAGATTTTTTTTTACTTTGTTAAGTTTAAAAAATGTTTTAATATTAAATATGATATAAAAGATGCTCTAGTTTGCAGTTTGTTGAATTATTGTGTAAAAATTACACATGGTAGCGTTCTGATGCAACGATGAGCCGAAAAATCCAAGAAGCAACTCGTTGAATAATCTGGTGCAGTGAATCACAGAGATCCAGCTCAGCCTAGGCTGTGTGTGTGTGTGTGTGTGTGTGTGTGTGTGTGTGTGGGTGGGGGGGCTTTGGGTTCAACAGCATCGACTGAACACCAGGGTTCAGCCTCTGTAGACTTTTACCTGAGCAGCTCTGGGTCTCTGTTTAATGGATCTTCAGGTTCTAGAAGCTGAAGTTCTGCTGGTCTCATGAACCCGCCCATGCTGGTTCTGCTGCTTCTGAACAAAGAAGTTATTTTTCAGGCCTCACTGAGCTCCGATATGTTGATAAAGAAACGTGAAACATGTTATCAGGCCTCTGCAGGATGTTTGAGGCCTGCAGCAGGTGCTGCCTCGGTCAACCTGCAGGGGGCGGAGCCTCACAAAGCGAGGTAATGCGTCATCAACTCATCTGAAGCTAAAGCTGAAGCTAAAGCTGAATCTGAACATGAAGCTTGCTGCAGAGCCAGGAGCAGCAGGCTGTAGCGGTGTGTGTGATCACACACACTGCAGCGCTGCGGAGCCGCCTGAACGGCTGGTGCCAGGCAGTAAGATGTGGTTTCCAGCGTTCAGGCAGCAACTGAGCTAAAAACACAACAACACAAGGAGAGAACAATGCGATGGCGGCACTTCAAAAGGCCTGAGCTCTCCTTTCTGTCCAATGAGCCCCCCCCATCTTTTTTCAGAGTTGTTTTGCAGCTTTAAAATGACCCACATTCGTACATTGTGCCCCCTCCCCTCCATTTCCTCTCCCTTGGCCTGTGCCAAAAGGTTCCTGTGCACATGGCGGCCCGGCTTCCTGCAGGCCACTGAAAAAGCTCAGCGCTGACGTACGAGGCCTGAAGACAATGCTGGGCTCCTCTAAACAAACACGCATCGCCCCCCACACCCCTCCCCCCTCCCCCTGCCTCCATCGCCTCCATCTGAGGAGCAGAGAAGAAGAACGGGCCGCTGGATGGAAGTGCCATCTCAGGGCGGTTTGTGGAGGAACACAGGAAGACGGAGTTAAATCTGAATTAGACTCCGCCCTGAGCCTCCCCCTCCCCCCAGCAGCCCCCGATCCTAACGACTAAATAAAAGTGTGGTTAAGGTTACTGATGTCATGTGAGATTAGAAAACCTGCTGGCTGCTTTCACACTATTTCTGAGCACCAAGCTTCTCACATTGCTGCTCAGAGTTTTTCTTAGATGCTTGAAAAGCTCCAGCAGTTCAGCCAGACGCAGCAGAATCTGCTTCATTCTGCAGAGGAAACCAAGCCGACAGGTTCAACACCGTCCAACTCAGACTGGATCTAAAATGAACATAAAGCCTCTGACGGTTTCCTGTCAGGTCTTCCAAATCTGCACAAAGTAACACGAACCATCTGAAGGCAGGTCCAAAGTCCAAATCAGTCCAACAGAATCCAGATTAATCCCCGTAATCTCAGTTAATCTGACAGTGGTGTGTCTGGACTGGGAGGAAGCCGGAGAACCCAGAACCTTTTTTTCTGCATTTGTCTGAAGAAACTGTAAATTTACTGACAGTTAAGCTCAGCCTGTCAGGAAAGACAAGAAGTTCCTGTGGTTCTGGTGCAGCAACTGGACCAGTCAGAACCAGAACCTCCGTCTGGATCTCCAGACAGCGGCTCAGTTCAGGTCAGGACGTGAAAGCTGACCCACCTGGTCCGGGTTGGCGCTGATCAGAACCACAGAGTCACTCTGGTTGAAAGAAACTTCAACTGTTTTTAAATATTCATTCAAGGAGAAGAAAAGATAAAGTCTAAAAACAGCCGATTTAATTATCAAAATCAATCTTCAAGTTTTATTTATTCAGAAAAGTCTGACTTACATCACTTCCTGTAACCTGCCAGAGATAGTTTCCATGGCGATAACAGTACAAGCTTTCAAAACACAACAGTTGTCCTCAGAAAAACAGACAGAAAACGGTTTTATGCTTCGAGTTATTTTTCATTTCATGCAGGAAACCGAAAACTTTTCCTGAGCCTCATCAGGAAAACCTCTGATAGTTTCCCAGAGTTCATGACCTTTCTGAGGTTTTGGTCAATTTCAAATATACTGAGAAACAGAATTGGAATAAAAATGGCGTCCATTTTGAAATCAAAGATGGCGGACCTCCAATAAGACCTAACATGTTGAATTGAAAACATTCATTTCAATTTCATGAATGGTAATTTATGAGCCACACAAGATGGTATGAAAATGTTACTTAGCAGAGTTTGGACCTGGAGGTCTGGTGAGAGGATCCAGTTGTCTGGATCCTGGTTCAGATTCTTCTGTGGCAGGCGATGAAGTGATGAAGTAACGGATCGAACAGCTGAGATGAAAGCTGACAGCATGTTCCAAACACCGACACCCTGCAACACACACTTCCTTTACCAAAACACACTTTTAAAGTCAATGTTTTTATTAGAAGTCACGGTCTAGTCCAAGTTTCTGCTAAACACCCAAACTTCATTTTCACTTCATTTTCTGATAAACTTGTTCATCAGCTGAAGCCGTACCGTAATGTTTATTAATCAACATTTTAGAATATTTGTATATTAAAAGGAAATTCTGACTCCTGAAAATAAAAAAGCTAAATAAATACAGATGAGCTGCTCCTGGAGGCTAACGCTAACGAAAACCTTTATGAAATTCAGAACAATACACCGAAATGCATTTCAATTTAAAATGTATTTGTTAAAAACTTAGTATACCAGATTTAGATGAATCTTGAAAAAATAAATTGCTTCAATTTTAAAATTTTATCCAAATTACCAGAGAAAATATGATGATCTCAAACTAAATGGCTGTACAGTGAAAACCTCCTTAACGTCACCTTCAAACCTGTTCTGGAAAAACTGAGCTTCATGGATCGTGACCGTCTGGTTCTGTGTGGCAGGAAGCGCTTTCTGTGGTGAGTGAAGATCAGCCCATATTCGAGCCGAACTTCTCCGCGGCGCCAGCCATGCACATGAAGAGCGAGATGACGTCACCTGGCTTCAGCCAGGCCTCCAAGCCGAGCCCCGAGCCCGCCGAGTCGGAGTGGGTGGGCTCAGCGGCGCAGAACCCCGGCAAGAGATCCGAGCACGTCAACGGGACCAGGTGAGCCAGGCCAGGGCCGCGCAGAGGGGCGGCGGCGGGGGGGCGGGTTCCCGGATGGGCTGGCTGCCGGTGTGGACACCCGGGTTTTTCCAGACACAAATTCTTTGTTTACTGTTCAGGATCCAAACGGACCGCTCCGATTGTTTCTTTGTTCTGTTTTTAACCCGAACTGCAGGAATACACATTATGGCCGTCAGAGGAAGCAATTACTGACAAGCAGCTGCTGGAGCGACGTCTGAGTGTAATTTACTAATAAAAACGGGATACATTTAATACTAAACTGGCATGTTTAATAGTTAATGGCTGTAAATCAAATCTCGGGAACTGTTTTCATACTAATTTGAATAAATCGTCTCTGGTTTAATCTCTACTGAATTGTTCTTCATGATCCCGTTTGGCTCCAATGTTTCTGTCTGCAGCTCTAAGCAGCTGCTTTTACTGCAACAGGACATCAAACTAACATCAAGTAAAAAACTGACTCAGCTTTCATATCGCAACTTTCGGACAGAAAGTTCATGTCTCCGCGCTTCACTGGAAGCAAATTAACGATAACTGATCGATAAAGATTATTTTCACTAGAACACGACTAAAACTAAGGATGTGAGGTTTTTACCTGTCGGCAAAGGAAAGAATAAAACATCTGCGGTGGTGAATGTTGGTGGTAAAAAATAAAAACTTGTTTATGTGGTTGAAGTCATTTTCTGTCGTGGTCACCTGCTCAGTGGAAACGTTTCGTTCAGATAGAAGCTAATTTTATCTCCTGTCACCAACAGATAAAACACTGCAAGAGGAAATGCACTAATATTGCAAAATCTTCTCTGCAGCCAGAGATTAGCAGCCGCAGTTTTTCCCCCTCCGGGTTTAATGAGCTTCAGTTGCGCCGCCTCAGTTCAGATAAAACACCTGAAATCTGCAGTGATGAAGGGAACCGGGTTTGTGTTTCAGCCGCGGGTCTCCGGTGGACTGCAGCGTCACCAAACGGTCCCGCCACATGAGCAGCGACGGGGCGCCGCTGCCGTACCAGGCGTCCTACCCGGAGCCGCGGGTCAGCCCGCAGACCGCCACCCCGCCCAGCAGCAACCCCACCGAGGAGAAGAGGGTCATCGTCCCGGCAGGTGAGGCCCAACCGCTGGCGAACTGAATCACTGATCCTCCTCCTCCCGCAGGCTGCTGCAGGTTGCAGGCTGCTGCAGGTTGCAATGGGCTGCTGCAGGTTGCAATGGGCTGCTGCAGGCTGCAGGCTGCTGCAGGTTGCAGGCTGCTGCAGGTTGCAATGGGCTGCTGCAGGTTGCAGGCTGCTGCAGGTTGCAATGGGCTGCTGCAGGCTGCTGCAACATTTAGCGGCTCAACCTGCTGCAGCGTGACGTCACGGGGTCGAGCCGTTTCAGGCGCAGATATTATTTTTAATCTTCCCAGCTTCACTTTTCTGCTCTGTAAAGAAATAAATATAAATAACCTGCATCTGATGCTTCTTAATAAATCATAAAACTAAAGTTTTATGAAAGTCACAAGTACAGCGGTCACATACATTTTGCTGGACGATAAATCGTCCCAGCAGTTATTGAGATAAACGATAATATTGATGTTGTGAGACCATTTTCAACTAATATTATGGTGGCGTAATAAAGCAAGAACACATCATCAAACATCAATAAACCTTTAATACGGGGGCAGCAAGACATTTTAAATATCCAAAATGAAAAGGCAAAACAACAGAAACAATAAATCAAATTAATTATTTAGTGACTGTAAAAAAACAAAAAAACAACTGACCTTCAAAATAAAAGTCTTTGTTGAGAATGAACATTTCTATCATCTAGTTTTCAGACAAAGAGAAAAAAAGGATAAATCATGTAAATGGAAATTAATGAGTTTGTTTCAATTTGTCATGTGATTAATTGATTTCTTCATTGATTCCTGATTATTGTGATCAAGTTTTCCTGACAGTAAAACTTTGTTCTGGTTGCCTTTATGTCCCACTTAAATGTTTAGAATAATCAAACTAATTTTAACAAACAAAAAAGTATTTTTTAAATTATTATGCGACTCGTCGGTCCAAAAATGTTCGGCCCCTGAGGCTAAAAGTTTTCAGGCCCTGAGGCTAAAAGTTTTCAGCCCCTGAGGCTAACCGCTGCTGATGAGCGCAGTGCCGCTGTGGAGGAGCGTCGGCCCACTCTGCTTTACCAGAGCCCATTTTCTCTGTCTGACTGTTGAATCGTGACCTCTGACCTTAACTGTGTCAGAGAGGCTCTAGATGTCCTTCTTGGACTGGTTCTGGTGGGTCGGCCTCAGAAGGTTCTCCGTCCATGTGTAACGGTTCTAACTGGACTCCCAGAACCTGACGAAGCTCTAACCGACGTCTGTGACTCCATTTCTCACTTGCTACTTTTTTAGATCTTTTGACCTGCTTCGTGTTGTCAGACGGGTCCCGGCCTGTCGCGGTCCGGATGAAAAACAAACAAATGGGATAAAAATGAGATCTGGATGTCAGAGGGTTTACCTGGTTAAACACAGGAAATAAAAACCTAAAAAAGCTCAAACAGGAGAAATCTGAGAGGATTTGTTTCCCACAAAACATCCACGGCCAGTTTCTTCATTTGTTTTTGCATTTTGTTGTAAATCTCTTTAGTTGTGATGAAATTGAATCTTACACAACTTCTGCTTCTGATGACATCACAACAGGCTCAGGTCACATGATCTAAACGTCTGACTGCCTCCATCTTTACTCTTCACTGGTTTAAAATCACATTTGTACTTTATTATTATGCATTTTCTTAACACCTGAAACTCACAGAGTTTCTATTTTTTTCCTTTAAATAAATAATATGTAAAAAGTAAGATATAAATGAAAGGATGAAATACGTTTTTACTTCTGCCTACCTCCTTTAAAATTAATTTTGAATTTTGAAACAAACTAAAACTAAGAGTCAAACATCAGGAGTTACAGCAGGACGCTGCCTGGTGTGATGTCAGCAGCCAGAAAACGTTCAATCCAGAATTTTAATCTTGTTTCTGTATTTTAGTGAAAACCTGTTGTGGAAATCCTCACTTCCTTAAACGTATCAGTTTTTGTTATTGTGGTCCAGTTGTTAAAATGAAAAACACCACCAGCTTGTAGCTTTAACAGCAGACATTAAACTATAAAATTAGATTAAAAAAAAAAACACAAATATGGAGAAAAGTTGGGAAAAAGAATTCTGGAAGTTTTCAGATACATTTCCAGTTTTCTTTGTAGGAATGTCTGATTTATTCCAGGTTTTAAACATCGTTTAGCTTCGCTCTGCGGGTCGCGCTGCCCTGCCGCAGTCAGACTGAGTCACCAGCCGCGTTTCTCTGCTCCATAATGGCCGGATGTTGCGTCAGGCGGCATGTGTGGAGCGAAACAATCAGCTGCCCAGGGCGTGGCGCCCCTCACGCTGCCGTCCAGCTCCACCGGCCGTTCACATGACGGCCGCATTGTTCGCTTCTGGAAAGCCGCGTCCTGAATCACACTGGAAACATTCCACTGGCCCAGTCAAAGTTTTACTGGCAGAAAAACTCCAACATTCCTCATGATAATCCACAGGAGATTTAATGAGTCAACATGCAGACAACAGTCATCATTCATTCATACTAAATTTTAATACTTTTTCAGTTAAGTGAAAAAGTATTCACACCCTCAGACAGATTTCTTCTATTTTTGCTTTTTGGTCACTAAAATGCTGAAGGTGACCTAAATAAATAAAAAAGCTGATTATTAAATGATGTAATAAGGAAAAAGCTCCAAACCAATCAGGCTGTATGTGAAAAGTAAGTGCACCCTAAACCCAACCACTCATATGGAATATTTTACCCCTTTAATCAGTAAAACTAAACTGATTTACAAAAATTTGAGTTGATCACAGTTAATGATTTACCAGAAGGAGGAATTAGTTTCAAGGTTTCCGTTTCTCTGAATAGAAATTAATCCGTTTATTCAGGTTACCTTTGATATTAAAATTAGTTTGATAATCTGAAATATTGGGATACATTTTTTATCCAATTTTTATTTTTACAAATATTTTGTGACTAAAATTGTTTTTTTGAACTTGTCAATGTGTTTTATAAGGAATCAAGACAGAATTATAAAGTTAATGTGCATAAAAAAAATAAAATTAGGAAAATATCAGAAATTGTGCTTTTACAAGTTAAATGTGTTTATATCTGTATTAAATAATCAAATTGATCTCGATCCTTTTTCCATTTAAACCAGTTTGATGTTGGATCAGGATTCTGACTCAGTAAAGAAATGAAAAGTTTTCTGTCGACTTTGGCAGATGTAAAGTCCCACAGCATGATGCTGCCACCACCATGTTTCCCATAGTGTTCTTAGATTTGAAAACGAGTTACTTTGAATCTATAAATATTCTTTCCACCATAAAACCATGCAGATCTTTCATTGTTTTAATATTTATCTCTGTGGATCGTGACGCTGAGCTCTGATGGGTCCCTGAATCACTTCCTCTTCCACCCGGGAACCCGCCTGAACAACCGGACCTTCAGTTGAACCGATGATCCTGCAGATGTTTAGAAATGACTCCAAACAGTTTTCACAACTTGCAGCCATTTGAGATTCTCCTTCCTGGACTTTTCCCGTTATCATCGGTCAGAACTCAGTGCAGCTTGTTCAGCTGAAATCCTTAAATGTGACGCTACTGAATCTGTAGCACTGGCTGCATTTACAGGTGAACCATTCATTTTACTAGAGATAAAGACTAGATGTTGCCTTCTATTCATGCATATGTTTAGTGTTTGAACTGATAAAATACTGCAGGTCTAAGCGTGTTAGGGCAGTTTCAG